GGGGGCAATTGTCCCCCTCAAATTTTTTTTTTTTTTACTATTATACTTAAAAATTTTAATTTGCCTCTCTCTTAAATTATTTTTTGCACTCCCAAATTTTTTTCATGTCTTTTGTTCCCTCTCAAATAATTTTTTAGTTTCGCCCCTACTTGGATCAAATAAAAGTTAGTCACATCAAAACTCAAAAGTAGTTTATTATGACTCTATGTGGTAATTGATTTAGTATTATATGTATAAAAAGTATAGTAATTTTATCTGTATTATAATAGTTATTTAGTTTTTAATTTGTTTGGTACGTGTAAAATTTGAAATTAATAGTGATTGTTTTCATCTGTTTTGCTCGAGTATTTAATTCAACAGATGTCTGGATGGTTCCATCGAAAATCATACGATGACTGGATAGAATTTTTTATATTCATTAATGGATAATCACAATTTTATTAGTTCCCGGCGTTATTTTTCTTCTTAGTAATTCTTTTTCTTTGTTGCGAGTCCAGCATGAAATTAAAGCTAGGTGTCCTTGGAGTGATTACCAAGATACAATTTTATTTTATTTTTCTGAATAAACATCAATATTTTTTTATTGAAGTTTTGGAAAACGAAGGTAATGTACAAACAGAGTCATGCATGCAAAAGTGATATTGTGGTTTGGAAATTATAACTTTGAGTAAAATGCAATTTTAGTCTTGTATGTTTCACTATTCTAACTTTTTCGTCCTTTTCAAATTGCGTTTTTTATTTTTGTCTCATATGTTTGTAAAAATATTACAAATATGTCATTTTCGCAATAAAAATGTTTTGCAAAAAAAGATTTCAATTTTATCCTTTATGCATGGAAAGGACATTTTTGTAACATTTTTGTAAACATACGGGACGAAAATAAAAAACGCAATTTGAAAGGGCGAAAAAGTTAGAGTAGTGAAACATACAAGACTAAAATTGTAATTTACTCTATAACTTTTGACAAGTTATGTTTCGTGATAATCAATTTTAATTTTTAAAGGAATGAACTAAAATTGATTAACGAACCAAAAATTGTCTTTTTTTTTCTTTTTTTTTTTTTCCAAACGACAAATATATTAAACTTCAAAACTCAAATGAGTACAATCGAGTGTGTCATTTATAACATACTGGAACCAGAATGTCTGGACCAACCTCCATTGAAATTAGACAGGTGGTTAAGGGGTATAAACTCCATATAGGAGACAACACCCGCTAAAACAAAACTCCAAAATTGAGACACTAACTTCATATAGGAGACAGAAACCAGGCGGCGCTGGACTAAACAAACTAAAAAGCAAAAAAAAGAAAAACAAACGACACACACTTAAATAATAGATTAATACCTCGCCTACACCTAACAGACAGACCGCAAAACCATCCAAACCGGTACTCGGGACAAACAACTCCGCACAAAAATACAACGAAGTTGCAAACCTAAACTCCAGACCCAAGAATTGCAATCAGCTCTAACCGCCTAAACAGATCTGGCGAGGAGGCAATTCTCGGTCCAGATCCGGGCTTCGAAGATCTTCAACACCAGGTGAGGGGGGGGTGTGCCACAATAACTCCGACTATCAACACCGGAGGGCTCGAAAACATGATCCAAGAAAGGGATGAGGTTTAACACCGCCAACTGGGCATCACCACTTGGACACGCAACTGAAGGCCAAGAGCCAAAGCGCCACTGAGCCCCAAGAGATGCCTACCTGCAAAAAATCAGACGAAACAAAGCAACGACGGGCACCCTCCGACCGGATCACGACAAGGGTTTGAGAGACCCGGCAACGACACTGAAATCGGCCGAAAAAGGGGCGGAGAGGCAAAAGACGCCCCAGACCCCTGATGAAGATGGGGCTTTCGAGGTCTGAACATGCCGAGAGCCGATGGCGAATGCGATCGGAAGAGGCCGCACGAAAGGGCGAAACAAAACGTGCATGGCCAAAAAGACGCGCGCGGGCTAGAATACGAGACGGGCCTTGACTTGGGAACACGTATGGGCAAGGGCTTAGGGAAAGTAGTCCGATCGAGCCTGGAAGTTGGCAACGGGCCGTGCGAGGAAGCATGCGGGGGCGTGCGGGGGCGTGATGTGTAAAAGCACGAGGCGAGCCGTGCGAGCCGAGGGACGAGAAGACAAATTATTAGATTATTTATGTAATTAGTCTTAAGTTATTTAGCTTATTATTAATCGTAGGTTAGTTAGGCAATTTAGTATTGGTAGGATATATTTAAGCCGTGAGTTAGAGCATCCACAATGTTTTGGGTTCAATCCCAAAAAATTATATGACACCTAAGAAATAGACCAAGTCTAAAAAAATACGTTTTCCAATGCAAATAAAAGTAGTCTTGGTCCTGCTGACGTGGCAGCCAGAAAAAGAGACCCGGTCTTCCCTTAAGTCTATTTTAGACTCAAGTAGAGACCTAGTCTCTTTGCATTGGAGTGAATTTTGTTAATTTTATATAGTTTTATCTATGTCATCAAAGACTCGAGTTTATTTACATGCCACATAATCAAGACTAGACCAAATGCATTGTAGATGCTCTTAGTAGTGTTAGTATTTAATTAGGTAGTTTATATATTATGTTAGTCGAATTAGATAATTGGTGGCGTAGGTTAGATTAGTTATGTTAGGATAGTTTATTCACATGAGTTTAATTAGTTTTGTTAGGAATTTTATATTTTGGTAAGTCTTGGGATGCAAAACATTTTGTTACCTTAGCACTAGATATATTTTCATAGATTAGAATTATAGTGGACTAGATCTAGTTTTTTCTTATAAATACTCAATGTACTCATTCAATTTTAAATAAGTTGAAGTTAATAAAAAAATCGTTCGCAAGAGCAAAACCGTACCTATCGCTGAGAAAGAAGCCGTAGCAAGCGACTGTTCGAGGCAAACGAGTTGAGGAGATACACGATTATTCATCAACCCCCTCCCACGCAAGGCCGCCGGTGAACGGGCCGGTCTACTCATTCCACGACACGGGCTGGACAGAGAGGCGGTGGACGGAGGCTGCAGCTGTTGGCGAGCGTAGGAGAGCCGCGACGGAACAACGTTTTTCTTTGATCAAAAAAAGGTGATTTGATAAGAGAGAAAATTTTAGGGGAGGTTTTCAAACAAATAGGTGATTTACATTGACTTTACCTCCGAACCAAAAATTAAGTGTCAAAATTGGTTAGGTTGGAAAATGGGGTACCAAAATGCAATACATGTAAAATTAGAGTGTGAAGAAAAGAACTTTCACGGTTTTTTGTGTTTTCATCATAGCATGGTTCCATTGGGATTTAAAGAAAATGACCTTATATAAATCGGATTTACGACTCATACTCTTGAAGAGATTTTCAACTTTCAAGCATCGCCTGTTAATGATGTTAAGTAAACAATCTTCAAGTTTAATAAAGATTAAAAAAAAAAAAGAAAAATTGAACCTACTGCTAAATATTTCTTCACATTACAATTTGCTACTATAATTTATATCACTGTATTTACATAAACTAATTGCTACTTCACTAACATTTTTTACCAACAAAATTTACAGATCACATCAAGAACATGCAAAATCCCTTTAGCAGTTCATGTCAAGAACATGATCCATTTTATGATAAGAACTTAACCAGACGAGAATTGGCCCCAAAATAGTAAAGACCCAACAGTCATAACCATTTTTATGATAAAGCAGACAAATAAATGAAAAACAGAATGTGGTACGTTCTTATCAATTTCACCACCACAAGAACATACGCACATGTCTAGCGCCGTGTTCAAGTTTGTAGGCTTCTTTTGGCACATCATATAGCCTATGCATTTAATCTATTAACAAACTGATAAAAATAAATTGCTATTCATCTTCTACTATGTTTGTATTGAGTTGATCATATTCGTGTTTGTTAAATAAAGAAGCCGACTCGACTCATTTCATGAATGAAAAAATAATATGAGTTCGAACTCAACTTGTTATGAGTCGTCCTGTTTAATGAACTCGTTTATAAATCCGCCAACACAGACATTAAATTAACACAATATCAAAACTAGAACATCTCCTAAACAGGAGAATAACCACAATAATGGCAAACAAAATAATACCAACATAAAAAATACAAACAAACAAACTAAGAACTAACTAATAAGTATAATAAAAACTCTCTCAATCTCTCAAATTTAATCATTATAATTTCATGTAATAATATCTATTCACGATCTAAAGTCACTCCAATATTTTTCCTCCTTAAAAAATGAATGAAAATGCGACCGTAGCCCTAGTTTTCAGGTGGGTTTTGTTTGAATTAGACGGGATAATAAGGAGCAAATTGCTAGCATTTTTCTCTTAAGTCCACAAAAGTTACAATCAAGCAATAATCATGAACAAATCAAGGATCTCATTCATAAATTAATTCGATCATCGTATCTTGTAGCTGTCACATAGTTGGAACAATACATAAATTATATTTACTATAAAAATAAAAAGTCAAATTTCATTTTTTTTTTTTCCAATTAAAAATTCAATCAGTAGAGGACAAGCACATGGTTCTTTACTGGCATAATTTTCTGAGCTGTTATTAATGTTTCCCCATATTCCTTAGTTGCTACAATTAATATTTTTCAGCTGTTATTAATGTTTCCACTTTTCCCATTAAAATTGTTTTTATTTATTTTCTGAAGAAAACTATTTCATAGCTATGCATTTCACTTGGCTCATGGTCCATTTGATAGTATCCTAGGCATAAAAGAATTTAGGCCAATTATTGTCCCAATCTAGGTCGTTTGTACCTTGTTTAATTAGGGTTTTATATTATATATTAATCAATTTGATGATGTCCAATGGTGAAATATCCAAATCCAATGTACATTAATTTCTCATTGTGGGATAGAATATTTGTAGGCATTTTCTCAGGTATATTCGGACCTAATCATTCACATCATGTGCAATCAAAATTAGGTCTAGGCTAATTTATAAAAAGAATTCTCACTCAACAACACATCAGATTATGCATAATAATTCATATGTTTTATCAATGAGATTACACTTTTGCCCCTCACTTATTACAATAGTTAAAGATTTTATTTCAATCAATAATCTCATTACACATTCAATCAACCCCACTTGTACTCATGTTGTTGGACTATAAACTTATTATATTATAGTCAAATTGATTATAAAATGCAAATTACAATAGTTGAAGAATTTCAATCAATAATCTCATTACACATTTCAATCAAACCCCACTTGTACTAATGTTGTTGGATTATTATTATTTTTTTTTTAGGTGAAGTGATTTTGTTGGTTATAGTGTTTTGATGTAAGTACCTAATAGCACTTTTGCAGACAGAATTATGTTTATAATGTAACCCTTTACATGTCTCTCTTTTTTCCTTCATAGACATAATTTAAAGGTCAATGATTGAAACACCTCTCATAATTTGATCATGTTCACACCTACAAGTCCAATTATTAAGAGCACCTCATATATTCATTCTTTGAGTGAGGCCCCTACACATAAATACTTTGCTTTTTATGAACAAATAATAATAATAATAACTATTAGTTATTTCGGTCAAAATTGGTTCGACGAGTTAAACATAACTACTTTTTCTACTTTACAATGAAAAATCATACTTTTCAAAATTATATTAAAAATGTAACCAGCTAGTTTTATTGAAATTGCATACATATTTCAAAATCTTTCCAAATCTCACTTTCACTTTCAGACTTCAGATTTCGTAGAATTCATCCTGTAAATCTTAAAAAGTCTAAAATCTTAAAATTTCAAAATGTCACTAAAAATTTCAAACGAAATCACCCTTAACCAACTTGCTATTTCATAAATACAAAATAATTTACATAATACACATCCAAGTGGCAACATCTCATGCCTTGCATAAAAAATTAAAATGACAATAAAAATCTTATTTACCAAGGATTTGGCCCTACCAATGACTACAGTTGAAATCTCCCTAATTTACTCAATGTAATGTAATAAAATACACACAGCAAATTTTGAGCACATGACATCTCAGCCCCACATGGCCTCCCCAATCAGAAAATTTGACAGCTTTTCCAGATAAAATAAAACCATAATACAATAATACTCTGCTATTAGTTCATATCCATCACACGATATAAAAGAAAACACCACACATATCCCACCAAAAAAATTTCAAGAACCCAATCTACATTCATTCATCTTGTGT